ATTAATAATTAATTAATAGATTAAGTCCAGAGTACTTCCTCCTAGGAATTTTATACAGGTGGAACCTATTTAATGAACCTTTCATCCTCAGTAAGAAGACACTATCATCTAAAGAATAATATAGTGAATGAACTGGAGGGAAAGTAGTATACAGGAAGACTGATATACTTAAGCTACTTTATACTGATCTTTGGTTTAACTACATCATTGTTGCTTCTCAAAAAATTACTTTTCAGGGTCTCCAGTTTTTCCCAAATCTTTTAATCAGAGATAGTAAAAATTACTTCTGAGCTCTTAGTGAAAAGCATGTGCTCCACCAAAGAAACTTGTATAAGATTATACATTTTAAGCCAGATTCTGTCTTCAGAAGAAAAAAAAGCAATTACAGCAAATAACCAGTGAATTCTGAAGCTTTGTTTGATTTTTAAAAAAGTGTTTTCTTGTATTTTTCCCCATAGTTCTGAACTTACAGACATGTCTTTGCCAGGCAGCCTTCGTTTTTCTTGTATCATTATAGTCTCCAAGCTTTTATAATACAAAATTTCTGCCAATTTTAATCGGTGAAGAGCAAAATCTGAAATGTAAGCCAAACACTTAATACTTAAAGCCTTGTCCAGTTTATCTATAATTTTTCTGTAATACAGTATGTGACTTTATATTGATCAAGAAAGCATTAAAGGCTTCAGACCTTAAAGAGTGCAGTTCTATGTAGAATTATCGAAAGACAAATTCCACCAATTATAATAGCATTTACTGTTGAGAAAATGAGTATAGGATAGACCTATAACTGCAGAAGATATTTAAGAGTAGTTAGAAAAATCCAATATCAAAGCAGTGGATAAATGTATGTGTCAGATTTGCCAAATAATAAAAATATGTGACATATTTCAAACTTGATCACACTAGGATCTGAAAGAGAGCAATGGCACATATCATGCAGATTCCTTCTGGTTTAGAGTACAGAGGTATCTAAAATTGATTAAATCTGTCTACTTGCTCAGAAACATGAGCAGAAAGATAGTACTGTACTACAGTAATGTTTTTCTTGCAGGTTCTCATAGGCACCTTGGAGATCCTTGGAATGTCTTCTGATTGGGATAGGCAGAAGTTTGGGCTCATTTCAACTGCTAATCTTTAACTTAAAAAGGAAGGATACAAGAGTTATAACTAGAAGAAAAATATTATCATTACCGTAGTTATTATTATTTATTATATTTAGAGGTCACCTGACTCCAGAACTACTGTCTTTAGTCCTGCCGTAGTCTTTCGAAAATTGATCATTATTTTGTAGTTTATTTCTAGAGAACTACTAAAAAGGAACCAATTTTCTAGAGAAAATTCTGGACAAGGATTTTCATGAGAATAAACAACTTTAGGAGAATCATTTCATTTCCATATTCTCCAGAAGAATATAAAAATTCTAGAGCAGCATGTTTTGAACTACAGTCAGGTCCAGAAATATTGGGACATCGACACAATTCTAACATCTTTGGCTCTATACACCACCACAATGGATTTGGAAATGAAACAAACACAAACGTGCATTAACTGGAGACTGTCAGCTTTAA